TTTTTTTTTTTTTTTTTTTCAGTACGCGGGCCTCTCACTGTTGTGGCCTCTCCCATTGCGGAGCACGGGCTCCAGACACGCAGGCTCAGCGGCCATGGCTCACGGGCCTAGCCGCTCTGCAGCATGTGGGATCTTCCTGGACCGGGGCACGAACCCATGTCCCCTGCATTGGCAGGCGGACTCTCAACCACTGCGCCACCAGGGAAGCCCTACTTTCAAATTTTAAACAAATGGGATTATGTGCTTTGCTCCCCCCACCTCAAACTATCTGAGATCTCTCCATACTAGTAAGTAGAGATGGACCTCATTCTTTTTAACAGCTTCATAACATGAATGGGTGCAACTATAACTTGTTGTAATTTTTCAGTTTTACAAATGGTCCTGCAGTAAACATCTTCGTGCATACATGTAGGCTAAGTTCCCGGATGTGGAATTGCAGGTAAACGCGTCAATACGTTTGTTATCATCCCTAAAAAGAGAAAAGCTGGGATCCAGGTAACTCTAGTCCTGTTGCTGAGGACAAATGTTTAGTCAGCAAGTGATTGTGTGAAATGGCTCCATGCTAAACTCCCTTCTTGGTGATTCACAATCAAGTAGCATATTAAGAGTTCTGGAAATTCTTCAGTAACCACTTACTGCTGAGTAGTTTAAAAAGAATTGTTTGCAAAGGGAAATTGCAATGTGCAAATGTGTAATTCTTGCACACATCTTAAAATTTCCCTGAACAGTTTGGGAAGTCTCCCCCCGGGTGGTAATCTCTCAAAGACAGGACAGCATTTAGATAGGAACTGGCCACATACTGTTCCACCAGGCTGGGCAGCTGAGGTGGAGTCAGGTTTGGATTTGGTCCAGGAACCAGGCGAGGCCTGTCAGCCACTCCCAAACCCCTCGGATGAGAGGGATCCAGCAAATCCTGCATAAATCAAGGCTTTGAGGCTGACCAGTGGGGAGACGGGTAGAGTTTCACTTCGGCCTGAGTCTATCTAAGAGGTGACATCAACCTAGCACACACACTTTGCATCAGTCAGGCCCAAGCCTCCAACAGAGAAGGGTGTGGATCCAGAATCTCTAGAGAAGGAGCCACTTGGGGTATAAGAGGGCAGTGTCCTCCCCCCTCCCACTTACCTCCTCCAGTCCTTGAAATCATGGTTAATTTCCATGGCTCAGTGCAGATGTCACCCCTGAAGCCTCTCCCCTAGCCCCTAGACCCCTCCTGTGTGCTCTGGTAGCACCTCTGCTTCAGCAATTAGCAGTCTGTTTTGTCTTCTGGTTCATTCATACTTACTGGGCTGATCTAGAGGAAGGGCCACATGATGAATTATGTACTTCACAGTCTTCCCCAACAAAGTGGGAGCTCCTCCGTAGCCCGGTGCTGTTCAGGCCTTCCTTCACTCATTCATTCATTCGATCATCATTGAGCACCTACCATGTGTCAGGCATTAGCTAGACTGCCTGAATACAGTGGTGAATACAGCAGACTCAATCCCTCCCTCTTTCGTATTCTTATATTCCCTGTAGCCCAGCCCAATGTCTAGCCCAAAGCCTGACACAGTACGGTTTAGAAATGGCAATCTAATTGGAAAGCTGCCTTTGCATAGCAAGAACTGTCTTACCTCCTAGACTACAGATGAAAAAACATTTTCTCAAGATGCCTCGTCTACATTTTATGTGATGGAAAGTCATCTGACTGTACGGGATATTTTTTTAGACATTTGGGGTGACCTCGGGGGCCTGATGGAGAATCTGGAGTGCTAAGGTGCCAGCCACCTGGCTGGACCAACGCTGGCGGGAGGGCGCTAGCGACGCGGCCCGCAGGTCCCGCCCCCACAGGCCCGGCCCCGCCCCCGCTCTCCATAGTTACGGCTGCGGAGGCGGCGGCCATCTTGGCGGCGGAGCGATGAGCGGGTCGAATTCTAAGGCTGCGGCCGTGGGGTCGGCGGCTGGGCCCGGGGGGCTGGTGACTGGCAAGGAGGAGAAGAAGAAGGCTGGCGGCGGCGTCCTGAACAGGCTTAAGGCGCGGCGGCAGGCGCCCCACCACGCGGCCGACGACGGCATCGGGGCAGCGGTTACGGAGCAGGAGCTGCTGGCTCTGGATACCATCCGGCCCGAGCACGTCCTGCGCCTCAGCCGGGTCACAGAGAGTAAGTGCGGGGCAGGCCGCGCCCTCCCCTCGCGCCGGTCCCTGGGCCCCTTGTAGCCTAAGCGGAGCCAGCCGCTTGCCGCTCGGCCGGCCCAGGGTGTCCACCCAGGCGCCTCCGGCCGGCCGGGCCGCGCTGCCCACCCTCACCTAGACCTGGTCGGGAGGGGTTCTCGTGGGCTTGACTGCCCTCCTCTGAGTCCGGCCACGCTAGGCTTCCTTGTGGCCCGTCCCCGCTGGGCCCTCAGGCCCGGCCGTTCTCCTCCTCAGCTGGATCTGTTTGGGTGGGGGCCCGCCTTGGCTTAACCGGATCCTCCTGACCCTGGGAAGTGGGCCGCTGCCCCCCAGCCATCAGTGAAGTTCCTGACCAGCTAGGCGCCCTCAACCTGTCTACAGCCAGCTTCTGCCGCCCTCTGCCAGCCCAGACCCCTACCCTAGCTGCTTTCTCTGCCTTTCCCTCCCCTCCGGCCCCTGACAGCCCCGCCCCCTTTCCAGCCTGCCTTGGCCCCCTACCTCTTTGGGTCCCTAGCTTACCCCTTTGTGTGCAGGTGGACTCCTCCTTCCTCAAATACATTGCCGTGGCATTTCGTGCCGCATTAAAAAAATATTAATAAAGTTTCAGTTCACGTACAAAACTAAAATGTGAATCCTGCTTTTGACACTTGTTGCAGTGAATTAAGAATATGTCAGGGTGTCAGAGATGCATTTCTTGCATAAAATGCAACCGTCCTACACCTTTTCATTGATAGTACGAGGGGTGGGGAGAAATATATAGCTCACCCCCTGTCCTGGTTTTCTTCTTTTCTGTTCTCTTCCAGGCCAACCCCTGACTTGATGCCTTTTTTCTTGCTGCTGTTCCCCGCTAAGAGTTTGCAGTCAGTTGGTTAGACCCTGCTTGCCCAGCCGGCCCTGTCCTCCAGACTTCTAACGTTGAAGCACCAGCACTCCCTTGATGGATTAAAGGCTGCCGTCCTATTATCTGCTGAACTGCTTTAGTCGGCAGCCCAGGGGTGCTCAGGTGTCCCTCAGGGAGATGGAGGCCGCCCCCAGTGATTTGAGGATGACAGTTTGGGGGGATAGGCCTTGGTCCAGCCTGTATGAAAGGGAATTCCCATCTCCTAAAATAGCTTTAATTTGAGTCTGGGTATTTTCATATCCCCATTTTCCATCACTGTTTGGTTTGGGACTGTCCTTTGCATGCCTGAGTATATCTTTAGAAGGTCTTGCTATTCTGTTTAACAGAAACATTGTGAAAAAGCTGCTTCTGTTCTGACCCAGATTTCATTTGGGGCTCTGAAGGTACGGAAATGTTCACCACCTCACCTTTCTCACCCCATGCTTTCTCCTGATACCAAAGGTGAATTAGGCCACTCTAATGCCTGGCCCTACGCGGCATTCTAGGAGAGCACTCAGGTCCTGTGTAGGAGCTTAAGCGTGGTGCCATTGCCCAAACACACCTCAGCAGCTTATTGGAGAAAGTCACAAGTCAGCTTGGTGACCTCTGGATTCTTTACTCTTCTTAAAGTCTGTTCCGTTCAGCAGGTTATTTATTGAGTCGCCTCTAAAGGTGCAGAACCAATCTCAGCACTTTTGGGAGTTACAGAATAATCAGTAGCTCTCAAGTTTGCCATCTTATTGGAGAGTCAGCTCGTAAAACATGAAACAGCTAACACAAACAGGCAGTATAAGATAAAGTGTCAAAGTGAGTTGTGGAGAAGATGCTCTCAGGAGTCATGAGAGAAAGAAATCAATGAAATTGTCTTTGATCAGTACTGTTTTGATTAGTTGATCAGGTTTCTGGGGGCTCTCCTTCACTTTGGCCTCATGCCCTCCACAGCAGATCCGTCCTGCTGCCTGGGTAGGTATGGCCCACCACCTGGTTTTGTGCAGCCCACAAGCTAAGAGTGGTTTTAACCTTTTCAAATGGTTGGAAAAAAAAAAAATCTTGGGACACATGGTTATATAAAATTTGTATTTCGTGTCTATAAATAGTTTTATTAGAATACAGCCACGCCATTCATTTCCATGTTCGTGGCTGCCTTTGTGCTACAGCGACACAGCTGAGTAGTTGTGATAGTGACTGTGTGGCCAAAAGCCTAAATTATTCATGATCTGACCCTTTACAGAAAATGTTTGCTGATCTGTGCTTTGTGATATGTTCAGCAAACATGCACCATATTAGCCATTAGATCAGCATAAATGTTTTAAAATGGATTTCTAAAAAAAATTCTATCCTGCTGTGATATCCAATGAAAGGTTTATAGGCCATTTTTGAAGTGTTTCCAAAGAAATCCCCTTTTACCATCCCTATTTCTAAAGTGTTACAGTAATCTTTCATCCACACAAGCCCATGCACTTTTTTTCTTTCTTGGATCCCCTAATTCTCTCCACACAACTTTTGCTTATAACATAAAAGGAAGTTTTGGGGTGTATTTTAAGTGAATTGTGTAAGAAAAAAACCTGAGTTTGCTTCAAAACTTGAGAAAGAAATGGTGGATTTGGAGGATTATTTAACGGCATTGGTCTCTCTCTCTCATTTTCAGATTATTTATGTAAACCCGAAGACAACGTCTACAGTATTGATTTCACACGCTTCAAAATTCGAGATTTGGAGACCGGGACAGTGCTTTTTGAGATTGCCAAACCTTGTGTGTCAGGTAGGCCTTAGTATTGCAGTAGTCACTTGACAGTTGGAGCAAAAGGTCTTTCACGCTTGAGTTTTTGTGTGCCATTGCATCCTGTGTCACAGACTCCAGCGGCCTGCTTCCAGCCGCCTCCTGAAGCCTGCCTGTGGGCCTGTTGGCTTGAAGCTGTGCTGAGAGGCTGATGTTTGTTGAGTATCTACTCTGCGCCGGTCACTGTGTTCCACATCTTTCTGTTTACATCAGTTCATGTAATCCTCACACCTCCGTGGGGGGTTATTATCCTTATTTTACAGATAAGGGAACTGAGGCCCAGAATTTCCAGGTGACTTTTCTAAGGTCCTCTGCCCTTTGATCTTACCATGTTTCCTCCACTTAGGAAAGGAATCCTTGAAATTAAACTCCAGTGAGGAAGCCTACCTGAACCTTGAGTCCTGGGAACACTCTGGAAGGGTGATACGGAGGATTCTAGTCCAGATCATGAGGCAGTGTCTTCTCACGCCCTTTCCTTTAAATAGTGTCTCAGATTTCCCAGTAAGTCCTAGTTTGGACTTTAATGTCTGCCATTTTCTGGATGAACAGAAGGCCCAGACCTGTGAACTCATCTACTTGGGACCCCTTAAGGTAGCTTTGAATGGACACTTCCTGTGCTTGTGATGCAGTTCCAGGGTGATTCATTTCTGACCAGGGGACCACACGTAGGTCTTTGGAGCACATCACTGGAAATGGAGCACCCCCTGGAGTTAGTTACTAGAACACCAGCCTAGATAGTCCTTCAGAGTATCAGTCATGGTCTGTGTTGATGACTCTTTTTGCCAAGCTTTTCTCATCTGATTTGCTATTCAGAAAGAGCCTGTAAATTTGGTAAGACAGCTGTTGGTAACCCAGGTAAGTCAAAAGGCTTTCATGAAAAAGTCTCAGCTCAGGTTAATTATACAGACAAGGCTAGAGCACTGGTCTCCTCACCCCATCCAGTATTCTTTTTTTTTGAAATTAATTAATTAATTTTTGGGCTGCTTTGGGTCTTTGTTGCTGCATGTGGGCTTTTAGTTGCAGCGAGCAGGGGCTACTCTTCGTTGCGTTGTGCGGGCTTCTCATTGTGGTGGCTTCTCTTGTTGTGGAGCATGGGCTCTAGGCGTGCGGGCTTCAGTAGTTGTGGCACATGGGCTCAGTAGATGTGGCTCGCAGGCTCTAGAGCGCAGGCTCAGTAGTTGTGGCGCACAGGCTTAGCTGCTCTGCGGCATGTGGGATCTTCCCGGACCAGAGATCGAACCCGTGTCCCCTGCATTGGCAGGTGGGTTCTTAACCACTGCACCAGCAGAGAAGTCTCACCACCCAGTATTCTTTATGCTGTCATAATCTAGTACTGACCAGGGCATCTAAAGGCTCAAGCTTGTGGGTACTTAAATCTTGTATTGGGAGGGTCAGGGCCAGCCAGCTTCCTGGGTCTGTGCTGTTCGTATCTCTAAGCCACAGGTCCTAGTACTTAAGATGTTCCCAGGACCCCAGGGCTACTTCAGGTGTATGGATTTGCATGAGACTGGGCTCAGAATAGTCATTTCAGTATAAAACTAAATCTCAAGAAGAAGGTCAGCTGCAGATACTGTAAAAATACCTTGATTTACGACCCATCCAGTCTTTACCTTTAAGGATCTTGATTCACTAAGAATATGCACACACTGATTCAGTGCCCTCCTACAGCACTTGTTCGGATGAGTTCGAATCCCTGAGAAGGTTTGGTCTGATCCTTTTTGAATCCCATTGTTGGAGCCAGGGCTGTGGAGTCTCTGACTTTGAACCCCTACTCAGTCTGGTTGCCCAGCTCCTCTTGGGCTTGTCACAGGCAGAGATGTTTGATGCTAAAAAAGACTCCTCTTTTACTGCACCTATGTTCAGCCTGGAACTGGAAAAAATACCCTTGCTGGATACTGGGTGGCTGTAGCTATTAGAGAGGGAACTAACTCCTTGTTTACATTAGAATGTTCTCTGATTCATTTTACAAATCTTTCATTCCTGGGTTCAGGAGTGGACTAGACCAGAGCCCGTCGTTACTCTTGTGGACCCTCTCTCAGGTCTCACATGTTGGTTCATGGCCCATCTGCTTCACCTTTTCCCAGGTGCTCGGAGTGTTGGGCCTGGTATGGCCTGGAATAGGCATTAGTCCAAGGAAGTGCAGTACCCCAAGGCTATAGGTCAGTGTCTTCCATTTAAATAGCACAATTATTTCTAGGGATTTGTCTTTGCTATGTCAGAAATTTTTGCATTCTTTGAAGGTGCCTTTTGAATAGTTTCAACTTTTATAGCCTCATTCTTTTGGTTAGCAGCAAGCACTTCAACTGGGTCAACAGCAGGCCTAGTCTGTATAGCAGAGACCATGTCACAGCCACCCAGCTGGTGTTTCAGGCTTCACCGTTAGGATATGGCCCAAGGCCCCAGATTATATAAAAGGCAAACAGCTTAGTGTTTAAGAACAGGCCTTGAGTCTGACGGACCCGGATTCACATCCCTGCTCCCTCCATTTACTACAGGCGTACCTCATTTTATTGTGCTTCACTTTACTGTGCTTCACAGATATTGTGTTCTTTACAAACTGAGGGTTCGTGGCAACCTTTCATTGAATAAGTCTATTGACTCCATTTTTTTCAACAGCATTTAAAAAAATTTTTTTTTATTGAAGTATAGTTGATTTACAGTTTTTTTTTTTTTTTTAGTGTTGTGTTATTTTCTGGTGTACAGCCAAGTGATTCAGTTATATATATGTATATTTTTTCATATTCTTTTCCATTATGGTTTATTATAGGATATTGAATATAGCAGCACTTTTTTTTTTTTTTTTTTTGCGGTACGCAGGCCTCTCACTGTTGTGGCCTCTCCCGTTGTGGAGCACAGGCTCTGGACGTGCAGGCTCAGCGGGCATGGCTCACGGGCCCAGCTGCTCCACGGCATGTGGGATCCTCCCAGACCGGGGCACAAACCCGCGTCCCCTGCCTCTGCAGGCAGACTCTCAACCATTGCGCCACCACGGAAGCCCCAGCAGCATTATTTTTAAATTAAGCCGTATGCATTGTTATTTTTGGACATAATGCTATTGCATACTTAATGGATTATAGTAAAGTGTAAACATAACTTTTGTATACACTGGGAAACCAAAAATTTCATGTGACTCTCTTTATCATGGTGGTCTGGAACTGAACCCGCAATCTCTCTGAGGTCTGCCTATATCTGGGTGACTTTGGACACGTTAGCTAATCTCTCTGAGTCTGAGCTTCCTGGTCTTTAAAGTGGAGATAAAATGAAGACAAAATCTACAGGATCACAGGATCCTGTGAGGCGTGCAGCACGGGGCCTGGAATTACAGCATGTGCTCAGTGAGTACTGGCTGCCCTGCCATATCGGTGTCGGTGTCGGTACTGCTGATCGGTCGTGCTCTTTGCCGAGATGGTGATTCAGCTTCCGTGTGCTCTTGCAGACCAGGAGGAGGAGGAGGAGGAGGCGGCGGCGGCGGCAGGCGGAGATGTGGATGTCAGTGCTGGCCGCTTCGTCCGCTATCAGTTCACGCCAGCATTTCTCCGTCTCCGCACCGTGGGCGCCACGTGAGTACCAGCATTTCCTGAAGGGGGGATGTTCTTCTGGTTCAGAGAAGAATGTTCTCTGTTAGGTTTGGGGTTGGCTTTAGAGGAGGGAGGAGGCAAAGTCAGGCTCACAGAGATTTATTCTGCAGGGTGGAGTTCACGGTGGGAGACAAACCTGTGTCAAACTTCCGGATGATCGAACGGCACTATTTCCGGGAACGCCTGCTGAAAAACTTTGACTTTGATTTCGGCTTCTGCATCCCCAGCAGTAGGAACACTTGTGAACATATCTATGAGTTTCCCCAGCTTTCTGAGGATGTCAGTACGTATCCCCTGACTTTCAGAACATCCTGGATTCTTCAGGCTAGAGGAACAGACCTTGAAATGAAATCCATCTAGTCCAACGACCTCATTTGCAGAGAAATAGGGACATGATGCGTCTCTAGTCTTTCGACCTCAGGCTTCTCGTTTCCTATTGCTCCTGTCTCATGTTTCAAACTCTGACTCTGCCTGCATGGGAACACTGAAGGTTTTAATACAGGCCATCCCTTTTAGATGCCTGCTGCGGGGAAGAGAGTGGTGAGGGAGATAAGAGGAGGCCCCTGACAATCCCTGGGAGTCCAGTTCAATACACGGCCAGTCATGGTTTCACTGTGTTCTAGTCACCGGCTCCTGCTCGGCACTCCTTTTAGCCCTTTGCTTTTTCCCTAATCAGAACTACATGGGAAACTGTGAGCTAAGTAGAATTCTAGTCCTGAGGACTACCTCTTTCTCATTCTCTGCAGGTAGAAGGTTAATTAGATGAAACTGTTAGAATAGATCCAGCAGGCGCTAGGAAGCTGTTAGAGGTTCGGAGCAGAAGGAGTAACGTGAGGGAAGCCGTGTCTGAGATAGAGTCACCCTGTAGTTCTGGGGAGGAAGAACTGGGGAAGGCGCCGGAGGGAGAAGGCTGGGCCGGGGAGGAGATGGACTGAATGACAGAGGAAGAACAGGCTGTGTATTCCCATGGCTTCGGTCTGGCCCTCTCACATTAGCATCCCCTGTGAGGAATTAGGGAAGGTTGTTCTAGAGCAGTCAGGATGTGAGTGGGATCCTGTGAGTAGTGGTGGAGTTTAGTTGGATTGTTGGCGAAGGTCTACATACACCGACCAATTTTCTCAGAATCCCGGGTCCTTAAAATTGTCATTTTCTGACAGGTATTCTTGACTGGTGCAGCAGTACTGTTCCCAGGTAAAGTGAGGATTGCTGAGGAGTGCGCAGGGCGTTGATGACCGCATCAACTGTTAGGATCCTCATTTGAAGCCCGCTCCCCAGGCTGGGCTGGGATGTGTAGATGCTTGCGAGAAAAGATTACGTACAGTATTTCAAGTTTTTATCTAAGGCCATGTAACTTTTTCTTCTTGAAGCCAAGTAAGCTAAAAGAGCGTGGGGGTCAGTACTCTGGATATGAACTAAATAACTCTGGCCTGGCTGAGTCCAAAGAACTTGAAACAGTCAGCTCTCCTTTTGAGAACTGTGGTCAGCAACAGCATTTCCTCCAGAGGATTCAGAATAGCATGTGACCATTGACTCAGAACCAACCAGAGGTAGTGACTCGCAGTTCTCTTGACCCTCCAGTTACGGTTAAAGAGGTCGGGGCAACTGCCAGAACAAACAGAAGATTTAAATCTGGATCCCAAGACAAGCTCACCCTTTGCTGGATTGTTGGCAAGTTAATACCCCAAGCCACCTCTGGAGAAGGCTCCTTGCCCTTTGTGCCCCTACATCCATGCGCATCTGGGATTCCTTTGTTGTCAGGGTTGCCTGCGGGACGTGAGCACAGTGAGGCGCAGCTTTCTGAATTTGGACCAGAGTGTCTAGAGGTGGGGACCAGAAGCACCAAGTCAACAGGCTGCTGTGGTGCCTGTTGGCAAACGGGCGGGCACCTCTCCCTGGGGTTCTGACGGAGCACCAGGCTGGCGATGGCCTCGGAGGGTCAGGTCCAGAGCTGGTTGCATCCTTCTGTTGAAGTGGACAGCATGCTCAGTTTGGGGGCCTCTGTGGTCCCCAGGTCTCTCCAGCTCTCAAGGCCTGGCTCCCTCTGTTCTGACTTCATTATTCTGACAGCGTGTGCTCACATTTTCAGTAAGGGCTGGTTTACGAATTTTAGAGGGAATGCTAAGTTTTATCCCACCTGGCCCATGGGGCAGACTCACACATAAGTCTTTGCTTTTTTCCTTTCCCTGACTTGCAGTTCGTCTGATGATTGAAAATCCCTATGAGACCCGTTCTGACAGCTTCTACTTTGTCGACAACAAGCTGATAATGCACAACAAGGCTGACTATGCCTATAACGGGGGCCAGTAGCTGTGGCAGGAGCGGACGGGGAGGTGCTTTGCTGTGGCCCAAGGTCCTGGTGCACGGAGGTGGCTGAAGCTGCGGTCTGTCAACACACATCTGGAACCTGGCCCCAGGAAGCCGAGGCTGGGGTGGCAGTTTCCTGTGCTCCAAGAGAGGTGCCAAGCAGTGCTGTGTTTCCTTCCCCAGTATTTTTTCTTCCTTTTTTCCCTGCCCCTTAGGTCACGGAGGTACTATAGTAAAACTTAGCATAAGGCTTCTGGAATCCAGATAAAAATAGAAAGTTTATTTTCATGTAGTCATCGCTCCTCTGGGTTGTCCTGTTGAGCCTGGGTCTCTCCAGGCAGAGCTGTGCCGGGGAGAGAAGGCTCTTCTGTAGGTTCAGGGGCGCTGTGGGAAGCTGAGACTCCTCTCTCGCCTGCGGGGTCGCCATCAGCACACTCTGACCTCAGCCTGTGCATCGTCCTAAACCAACTCGGGGGGCAGAGGGAAGGAGTGGTGCCAGGAGTTGAGGCACTGGGGTGGGCAAGGCTGCCAAACTGAAGGATCTGTCTTACGTAGGGGCCGCTTATCTGTCTGACTTCCGGATCCTCAGCCGGTCCTCCTGGGGCTCCACTGAGGTTTCAACCTGGCAGTGCCTTCCTGTTCTCCTTCCAGAGGAAAGATGAGCTTGCTCTGCTTCTCCTGGCTCCTAACTTTTGAGTTTCTCCTGAAATACAATGTGTCAGTTTTGCTGTTGGAACTGTAGTAATCTCTGGAGGCCAGAGCAGGCCTTATTGTATTTTGTTTTTTTATTTCTAAGCTTCTTGTGGGGAGGCTTTATAAAATGTCAGTGGCATTCCCAGCATATAGGATGTGTGGCCAGACTTCTGATAGTATCAGTCAGGCTCCCGGGGCTAATCTGGGTCATGTCGTACCTGCTTTTGTACTGAAGTAGTTCCTGGAATCATCCTGGCTGGTCAGACCTAAGTAATGTGTATTCTGGTCCTTTGGAATGGTTTTGGAATGTCTGCCACTTGGAATGGCTTTGGGCGTTGGGAAAGGGGGAAATCAGCTGAGGTGGCCTATCAGGGAGACGTGTTCTCAAAAATCTTCCTCACACATCCCTCAGGCCTCACTGGATGGGCTGTCCGCGCTTCAGCTCCCTACTGTTGTCCGACAGTGCGGGCGATTTAAGTGCTCAGGCCCAACTCCTGACCCTCTGATAAGACTGTTGCTGCGGCCAGGGTTTAGCATTGCTAGAAAGGTCACAGTAGGAAGGGCCCAGGTACGTGGTATCTGTGACCAGAGAGCTGTCTCCCTAGGTGCTTGGGAGAAAGGCCAGGTGGAGCCAGGGAGAGAAGGGCCAGCGCTTTGCCACAGATGCTCCTGTGCTTTCACTGACCGGTGTTGCTCCCTGTTTGCATTCTAGAGCGTGAGGGGCCTTGAACCGTGGTCCAGTGCTTTTTGTCAGGCCAGAGTCTGGGCTGTGCCAGATGCTGGCAACTTCCTCACTGAGAAAACCCTGGTTAGCCCTGTGTGCTGGCCCTGCACCCAACCCCCGAGGGAGGAAGAGACCGGGTTCCCTGCAGGGTGGGCTACTCATCCCCAGACCGGTGAATCCCAGAACTGGAGTCGGCTGCGAATCCAGGTGCCTTATGTGTGGCTCCATCCCATACACTGCCGGACAGACATCAGCACTGCCTCTTCACCTTCTGTTTCTCACTGGGGCTCCCTCAACAGATTTGTGTTCATTGAGCTTCAGAATAACCCCTTCTCTCTGTGACAGAACCCAGTCGGGAGAGTTTTTCTACTATTTGATGTTTAATTATTATCTAGGATGTGGTTTCTGGAGCTGCCCAGAACTCTGCTCAGTAGAGTGTGTCTTGGAAATGTGTCCCAGGCAGACCACGTCTTGTAGGCTAGTGGGCTGTCTCTTACCTGCAGTGTTAGCTTTTGCTGGGAAGAGGGCCGAGGAGGCAGGCATTCTGGCTTGAATAGTGCTGCATCCTCTTCCCAAGAGCTTGCTTTAGTCTCACTGGAGACCGTTTTGAGGCCATGCTTGATCTGTGCCCAACAGCACAGGGATTTGCTATCTTCTGCTCCTGAAGGTCTGGTGTTCTGTGCCTGGGACTCTGGATTCTTGTGGCTAGCTACTCAGGAAACCTTGAGAAGCATTACCTCTCTGGGGTGTTAGCTAGGGTAAGTCTGAAATTCAAGCTTTTGTACCCGAACTGGGGAGAGAATTGGAAGTCATACCTTCTCTGAAAGTAGCTGAACTCATCAGAAGCTGAATCAGGAGGCCGTGTTGTTAAGGAGTCTGGGCTATTGATAGCAGTTACCTGTGGGCAATAAGATGGGAGGAAAAAACCTACCTGCCTGGGGAGACCATGCCCTCTGTTCAGAGCTGGTACCTGAGAGGAAGCGCCTAAAGGGAACACATTCCAGCAGACTGACAGGTCCAGCTGGCGCCTGGGGGCCTGCTGCCTGCACCCCTCCCTCTTGTGTCTTGCTCCTTCGTGTCCCTCTGGCCTGGAGTCTCCTGGGAGAGCGACTCTCTTTTCCTGTGGAGCTTTTGGGCTAAGATGCCCTTTCAGCTGCTGCAAAGAAGATCCTGGTTTATTTTATTCTATGTTTTAAAGAGTAAACAGAGGAAATAAGTAAAAGTAGTCCTGGGATAAAGTAGGTCATCCTCTCTTCATGTGTTAGCTCAGAGCTGTCTTGCAAGGAAGGTACTTTTCAGGGCCTTGTCGGCCTTCCTGAAGACCTCACAGTCTTTGGGCCGTCCAGTTATCAAATAGGGGCGGTGATTTGGGGGCGTTGGGGCTATGCAGAGACTGGAGATTCTTGACGTGGCAGTAGCTGGGGGAATCTTCAGCTTGTTTCTTCAGTTGGAGTGGGACTCATTCCGGAATGGACTGAACAGGCTGTGTCTAATGGACAGATTGGGTGAGGCTTGCTTTAGTGTGTCTTGCCACCCTCGATAGGCTCCCAGGGTACTCTCTTTTTTTTTCTGTAATGTCCCTTCCTTCTGGTGGCCATTGTCACTCTGACGTCAGTGAGGTTGGGGAATGGGGACAGTTCTCAGAATCATAGCACAGACTCGTCTGTGTGTGTGGACCCCTGATGCAGAGGGTGCTGCCGTGCCTGGCCTAGGGGCCCAATTGTCAGATCACCATGTTTCTCACATTCCGTGTCACAGGACATCTTAGGTACAAGAAGGGTCTGGTGGAGGTGGATTTACCCCTTGTTGCACAAAGGATCATGTAAAGTCACTGAACTTGTGAAAGTCTATTTTTTTCCCCTGTATATCTATTTTTCACAGAATGTAAGAAGCGTTAATGACCTGGTCTGTCCTTCTTCCCCTTTCCCCTTCACCTGAGGTCCTCATTCCAGTTTGTATTGTCTTTGTGTCCAAAGTAAACTAGGTGACTTATTTGTATAAAATGTTATTTTGCCACAAGAGACAGTAATAAAAGAAAGATTTTCACAGTATGCGCGTACCCTCTCTGGTCTCCTGACTGGGCCCCTTGAGTCACGGGGTGGGCAGGTATGGAGTGGGGGTGGGCTCTGAGTTTCTTTACGTGGCCTTTCTGTAAATATTGGTTTAACGAGTAGAGCTGGTTTCTAGGGTGATTAGGGCACAGTATTGAGCTTTAGGCTTAGTATTTTTTGCTTTACATTTTGATGGAGTTCTTTGAGAATTAAAAATGTATATACATGTTTTTAAAACATGTTCATTAAGGTGTGTTTTAACTATACGTCATTTAAGAGTAAATTCACCTCATTTAAGAGTACAGTTTGGGGCTTCCCTGGTGGCGCAGTGGTTGAGTCCGCCTGCCGATGCAGGGGACACGAGTTCATGCCCCGGTCCGGGAAGGTCCCACATGCTGCAGAGCGGCTGGGCCTGTGAGCCATGGCCGCTGAGCCTGCGCATCCGGAGCCTGTGCTCCGCAATGGGAGAGGCCACAACAGTGAGAGGCCCGTGTACCGCAAAAAAAAAACAAACCAAAAAACAAAAACACCAAAAAAAAAGAGTACAGTTTGATGAGTTTTGACAAATGGATACATGATCACAATCATGATACAGGGCATTTCCATCACCTCAGAAAGTTCCCTCAAGTGCCTGGTGTTTGCAGCCCATTCCCTCCCTCTATCCAACCCCTTGCAACCATCTTCTGATTTGTGTCTCTTTTGGAAAACTTGTATACTTTTCGTATAAAACTTACATCTATGTTTAAGCTCACAAACAAAACAAGTTAAAAATAAGTCTGGTTTAGATGGTCTGTGGCACCTGAAGGCCTATTGGCCTCTGCCCACAAACATCACTCATTTCCCCCTTTCTCCTGCTTCTTGCTCTTTTCTTCCTGGTGCCCAGGTAGAGTGATGAAAGGTGAGGAAACTTCGGAGCATTTGCCAACGACAGTAAAAGTACTGTGGATTTAGAGGCTTTCTTTTGAATGCATTTCTTTTTTTTTTTTTAATTTATTAATGAAGCTGAGATCTTGGCTCCATTAATTTACTTATATTTTAATTAATTAATTAATTATTATTAATTTTTTTTTTGCGGTATGCGGGCCTCTCACTGTTTTGGCCTCTCCCGTTGCGGAGCACAGGCTCTGGATGCGCAGGCTCAGCGGCCATGGCTCACGGGCCTAGCCGCTCCGCGGCATGTGGGATCCTCCCGGACCGGGGCACGAACCCCCGTCCCCTGCATCGGCAGGCGGACTCTCAACCACTGCGCCACCAGGGAAGCCCCTGAATGCATTTCTTTTAAGTGCAAGGTAACATTTGAAAGACTTTGCCGCATCTTTTAATAGATCTGCAGGAAGCAGAGCAAGGTCTTGAAGGAAGACAGAACTTTTGGCGTGTGGGTCAGTGCTGGGGACAGACGCCTGGCTGAGTTATGGGGGAAGAAAGGCAGCTGTAGAGACTGGGTTTCTGGGGGCGTGTGGGAGGTGTCTGGAGTCTGTGAAGTCTGACTCACACCTGTGCCCATGCAAGACCCTTGGCAGGCAAGTGAAATCGCCGTAGTTTTGGGGGCAGGGTGAAGGCGTCCTGACGGACGCTAAGGACCAGTGCCCCCTGATCCCGGTGGAGGGGTGGGGTGGGGGGCTCTGCCCCCCAGTTGGGAGTGAGACGGTGGGACCACAATGGAACAGGGAAGCAGCAGTGCCACCCCACCTGCACAGCCTCCCAGCAACCCAATTCCCCATGTCTACATAATGAGCACCAGCGCAAGACAAGACCCTTGTCCCTCTTGGCGCTCAGACTTACAGGGGACTTGATAAGATTTCAGATGCTACGTGCCAGGAATAAATAAAACAACGGGATGGAGAGTGTGTGGGGGGAAACACTGGCCTCCTGCGGTCACGGCAGGCCTCAGCGAGTGATGAAGGGAAGGAGAGTTCCAGCTGAGGGAACGGTGACTGCAAAGGTTTGGAGGCAGGAACCAGCTACAAGTATTAGAGAAAAGCTGCCCTGTGAGGCTACAGCAAGAGCATGGTGGGCGTGGGGCCGGGGAGGGAGGCGGGGGAAGGCCAGATAGGGCTTTTTAGGCCACGGAATTGGATTTTAGGAGAGATAGGGCCCCCCCCTCGAAGAGCTTTAGGATCGGCCTGAAACCGATTTCGGAGACTTCCTCAAACACCGGACAGTTTGATTTATCTCCTGGGAGGGAGGCGGGGCTCAGGAGGACCCGAGGCAGGCCCCGCCCCCGGAGAGCGAGCGCGCGCCGGCCCCGCCCCGCAGGCCCCGCCCCCCGCCCCGCGCCGGAACCCGCGCTCGCGGCCCGAGGTCGCCTGGAAGAAGCCCAGTGCCATTGCCGGTCTCCGTCCTCCATGGCCGCCACGCTGCTCGCCCGGGCCTGCGGCCCCGTCCGCGGAGGTGAGTGCGCTCCGGCCCGCGGCGGGCCGGGCGGGCGTGGGACCCGGAGGCCGATTCTCGCCTGACGCAGGCGGGCTGGCGGTGCCCCTCCGGCAACGCGCGGCCTTTGCTCCAGTTGGGCTGCTCCTTGCGCCTGCGTGGCCCCGGCACCTGCTCTGACCCCCACTCCCAGCCCAGTTTTCACCGCTGCACCCACATTCCCCTCCCTTCATTGCACCTTCAGCGGAGGTTCAGGGTGCGCCATTCCTCGGGAGCCAGCCCTGGGATTGAACCCAGACTGTGCTTATGTGACCTTGGGCCCCTGTCAGCCTCAGCTGGCTCTTGTGTAAAATGACCACAGCAATACTGTTGTTCTCATAGAGTTGTTATAAGGATTAAATCACAGGTGCCTGGCATTATACAGGTGCTCAGTATTAGCGCTTGTGGCTGATTGCATACAGTACCTTTCCCATCTTCTCATTTCTCTCCAGCTGTAGCAGCAGTGACACCTGTAGCCAGGGCTTCCTTTGCCTGGTCAAGACCCACTCACCCTGAATAATAATAAAGGGGACCCTCTTTGAGAGCTGTCTCTGCTAGGCCCTGTGCTAAGTGCTACAGTCAGTATCTCATCCTCCCAGCCCAGGAGCTGAGTACTGCTGTCCTCCACATTTAGAGAAACCTGTGAAGTTAGGATCCTCGCCTAAGGTCACAGAGCTGTGCTCTTACTATTATTGGTGTTATACTGGTGATCGAGTGGGATCGTTGTACAAAGTGTTTAGCAAGCATAGTAAACCTTCAGTGCTATTCCCAACAGCAGCGCTATCAACATTTTGGGTCTATAATTTTTTGTCATGGTATCTGTCCTATACAATGTTTAGCAGTATTCCTGGCCTCTACCCACTCCATACTACCCTTCGGTTGAGACAACCAAAAATGTCTCCAGACATTGCCAGATGTCCCTTGGGGGACAAAGTCATCCGTGGTGGAGAACCACCCAGTTAGTGGATCACTATTATTATTATTATTATTATTACTACGCAAGACCTCTTACATTCCCCTTCCACTGACTACTCTTCTCATTGGCAGCTCTCCGGCCTCGGGACTGGCGTTGCTTACATACCATCTACCAGTCTGTGGAACTGCCCGAGACACACCAGATGCTTCGTCAGACGTGCCGGGACTTTGCTGAGAAGGAGCTCTTTCCCATCGCGGCCCAGGTGGACAAGGAACATCGCTTCCCGGCGGCTCAGGTGAGAGTTTGAGTACAGGTACCATCAGCTCCAGGATGATTGGTGACAGTGACATCCAGAGGCACGGAGACTGCAATCAAGGAACCCTAAGTGGGGGGTGGGGGGTGGTCCTGGGACCCAGAATATGCCCTGGAGGTTTCCCTTGTCCAGAATGAGGCCTATAGCCAGGATGTAACTTCTGGAATAACAGTAATAATGGTGGATGGTTGATATGCTTACTACGTACTGGGCGTTGTATTGATAGTAATAGTTAATGCTTATAAAATGCTGACCACGTGCTCGGCATTGTCCTAAGTTCCGATGGGTTAGCTCACCTGTTTCTTTTCATTTGGCCACACCACGTGGCATGCGGGATCTTAGCTCCCCGACCAGGGAGAGAACCTGCGCCCCCCTGCAGTGGAAGCTCGGATTCTTAACCGCTGGACCTCCAGAGAAGTCCCTAGCTTATCTGTTTCTTAAAACTGTCCTATGAGATGAAGGTGCCATTATTACATACCCTTTTGTACAGTTGATGAAACTCAGATTGATGAGAGGATTAAATGTGCCCAAGGTCATGGAGCTAATAAGTTACAGAGCTAAAGTTTGAACCCAAGTCTGTCTTCTGCCGGCTGCTGAGATCCCAGTCAGTCCCCTCCTCCCCGTGCCGTTGTATCACTCCATCTATAATGACAAGTTTGAGATGTTCCTGCTGTCTCCATCCCCTGGCTTGGCAAGATGTCTGGCACACAGTATACTCAATAGATATTTGTTGAGTACATAACTTGTGAAAGAGCCAATCTGTCTGGCCTCTTCTCCACGCCTGTTTTCCAGTCTGAGGAATTCAGGAGTTGTGATCACCATTCACATGCCTCATAGGCTCTGGGGCCACTTTTCCAGCTTAGTGAATGTTGTGTGTTCACAGTGTATCGGGCACTGTGCCTGGACTGTGGGAATACCCAAGGAGCTCAAAGTGGGGTAGGCAAGTGGCATTCTGAGCACCAAAATTAGTTGGGCAACGTTTAGGTGTTAAGCATTGAAATCATGTCATCTCATTTAGTCCTGAGGGCATCCCCAGCTGCACGTCTAATCTCCATTTGGCTTCCTGGAATGCTTGCAAGGATTGTGGGAGATCACATATGTCAAGTTCATGGTGCCTGGTACTTGAAAACCAGAAGCTATTAATACTATTATTATTTTTATTACAGTTGAGAAAACTGAGGCACAGAGAGGTGAAGTGATTTTCCAAGGCATACTGTCTATGGACCCGTAGACCTCCTGTGATTGGCTCCAAAACCCTGCTCCATCCCCTAGCCACGTGCTTGTCCCAGAAGCCCAGCTGGGAAGCCCTGTTCTAATCGGGAATATTATCGTCAAGGGCCTAAACTACCCCTGTATCCTCCA